CGGCCTGAAGAACGAGCCAGGGCTGTGTGGGCACACGTGCCCAAGTCCCCAGAGGAAAGCAGAGCGGGGATTGCAGCGTGCCACACCCCTGGGGGGTGATTCCTCACTTTCCTTCTCTTTCTGTTTCTCTCCAGCAAGCATACACACCAACTGGGAGGCAAAAACACCTTAAATAAATAAATAAAGTTATTCTTCTGTAAAAGAAATGTAAACCGAGCCAGTCTATACTTTCTAGGCACAGGAAGGAGATTAGAGCTCTGAAATCTGGCCCAAAAAAACAGGGTAATCTTTGCTGTGTATTTTCTTCCCCAAGCCAGGATCAGCCGACCCCTCTCTGAGTCACATTTTACACAGTTCCTGTACACACATGTATGTGTTAAATAAAAGCTGTGTGCCTTATCTTATTAAGCTGCCTCTTGTCAACATTTTCAGTGAACCTCAGAAGGGGAGTTCCTCCAGGCCTATGATATAATTTTATATCCATCAAATGCCTCTCTAAGTCTTTCAGATTTCATCCCAGTCAAGGCAACTCATCAATGGGAATCATTTCTATACATTTAACTATAAATAAATGCTTAGGCTTTTTGGAGAAAAATGAGAACGTTTTATGTATATCAAGAGCAAAGGCGGGGCCGGCAGGTGACATGGTGGTTAAGGCATTGGACAGTCCCACATGGCTGACCATGGTTCGAATCCTGGACCTGGTGACTTGCTTTCTCACTTTCCTTCTCTCCCTGCTTCTGTCTTTCTCTGGTCAAATTAAAATAAGTGAATGAATAAATACAATTAAAAAAAGAAGAAGAGCAAAAGAGCTGGAATCAGACTGTCTAGGATCCTATACCAATGAGGCCACTTCTCAGCTGTGTGACTTTGGGCAAGTTACTTTATTCCTAATGCCTCGACCATGGGGTTGAGTCTCAATGGCAACATAACAAAATGAAACGCAGAGTCCCTGTTCAAAAAGCCAGAAAGCAGCGCAATGAAAGGTACTACCATATAAATCTCTGTCTTTCACAGTCTCTCCCAATGGTCATGGTATTTTTTTTTTTTAATTACTACTAAATATTGTCCTAGGTAAAGAAAGCTGTCATTTACAACTATTAGTATGGGGCCAGCAGGTGGCGTGGTGGTTAAGGCACTGGGTTCTCACACGGTCTACTACAGTTTAAGTCCCGGACCTGTTGGCTTGCTTTCTCACTTTCCCTGTCTCTCTCTCCCTGTCTCTCTTCAGTATGCACACATGCACTACAGTAAATTAAAAAGAACAATAATAATAATAAATAAAATTAAATAAATACTTAGAAACAAACACACACAAAACCATTAGCACAAATTTTACGTTCATCTTACTTTGAGCAATGCCAGTGACGGGGTTTGGGATCACTGTTATCAAACTCAAATCAAGTTCTCCCGTCCAAGTGCCACAGATCAGACTGTAGGCACAAGGTGTGACGAGGCAAGTACAGCTTCTCTGCCCTGCACAAGGCTCGGAGAGCGGGCAGCTCACTCTGGAAAGGCCGGGCCTTCCCGAACAGCTCCCCACAGCATTTTTAATCCCAGGCACATGATCAGTTCTATTTTTCTGATAGAAATTTTTGCCATAGGGTGCGTGCTTTTGCTAGAGAGACAGAAAGAGAAAGAGGGAAAGTGACGGGGCCAGTAGTTAGCATAATGGCTATGTCGCTGGACTCCCACATAGTCGACTGCGGTCATGCTAGGCACATGTATGTGCATGCCCACCCAAGATCCCGAGAGGAGAATGGAGGAGGAGGGATTGCAGCGCAGCCATACCCCTGGGGGGTAATTTCTCGCTTTTTGTCTCTGTCTCTCTGTCTTTCTGGCGACTACACATGCCTTATAGCAAAAACCTCTCCAGAAAAAAAAAAAAAAGGAGGGAAAGTGAGAAATTACATGTGCCTGAGTGTTTTCTCTTCTTTCTTTCTTCTTTTTTTTTTTTTATTTGAGTGATTTTTGCTATAGGATGTGTGTGTTCACCAAAGAGACACAAAGTGAGAAATTACCCCTAGGGGATATGGCCACGCCACAGTCTCTTCTCCTTCATTCTTCTCTTGGGATTTTGAGCGTGCATACATACACACCTAGTGTGAGTCTCAAGGCACTGGGTCTGGGACTCAAACCATTGTCAGCCAGTGGGAGGCCAGCCACCTAAACCGTCACGTCATCTGCGGGTCTAACATGTGTTATTATCTTTAGAGGTATTAGCTATCTTTAGAAAATTCAAAATGTGGTCAGGTGCCAGCTCTGTGGTCTGGTGGTTGAGGCAGCTGTATCCCACATGGCCAAGTGCATGGTGTGAGTCCTGAGCCTGGCAGCTTGAGAGACATGCTAGGCCTGTATATGTGCCCCAACTCCCAAAGGAAGAAGAAATGGGGAAGAAGGGACTGGTTTTCCTCCTATGGCTCAGTCCTCAAGCCTCTGCGACCCTGGGGTCACACTCCCCTCCCTGGAGTATTCCATTCAGCCACCTCGCTTTAGGCATCACCTCTACACTGAGGCCTCCCAATTTTCTGTCTCCACCCCACTTCTCTCCACAGCTCCAAAATGGTCTCTCCTGTTGCCTGCGCGTACAACAGCACCTCGCCTGCGTCATCACTAATGTGTACTGACCTGCAGCCCCACGCCCGCACCTCCTGGGGCTTCCCATCCTGGCAGAGAGTACCACCATTCACCCAGGGCTCAGACCGACCGTGAGCCATCCCTAATTCCTTTCCTTCTTTCCCTTCCCTCTCTAATTCACGAGCAAACATGTGGACTCTCACTTTCAACACCCATCTTGAGGGACCAGCGGATGGTGTAATGGTTACGTCGCTAGACTCCATGTAGTCCATCGTGGTTCAAGCCCCAGACCTGGTGGCTTAAAACTCATGTCAGGTGTGCGTGCGTGCCTGCCCGCCCAAAATCCTGAGAGAAGAATGGAGAAGAGATTGCAGCGTGACGGTTCCCCCCCTGAGGAGTGGTTTTTCACTTTCTGTCTCTCCAGCAAGTGCACAAACCTATGGCAAAAATCTCTCTAAAAACAAAAGAAACCCTCTGGAATCCTTTCCCACTAGGATATTGCCTCAGTCCAAGCATGGTCCCGGCCTGGACTCCTACAGCAGCCTCTGCTAACTAGCTTTCTGCTGCCACTTTGTTCTATTTTCTACACATCAGCCAGAATAATTCTTTTCTTTTCTTTTAAGATAGGGGTTTTTTTTTGTTGTTGTTGTTTTTTTTTTTTTTTTAAATTTGCTATAGGGCACTCACCAGAGAGACAGAAAGCGAGAAATCACCCCTCAGCTATCTATCTGCTCAAAGGTTGCTTCATCAGGAAGATCTTTCCTGGCATCTTTTCGAAAATACTAGCTTCTGGGAACCAGCAGCTAGTGTAATAGCTATGTCGCTGGACTCCCACGTAGTCAACCGCGGTTCAC